TCTGTTTTCTCTCCTGTGAACTGCTGTTCATCCATCTTTCACCTCCTTTCCTGACCATCTGTCCCCTGCGGGCTTGCAGGCACTCTGGCGGTGAGCTGGCCGTGGCCGTGTGTGGCCCTCCCCGCTGTCGCCCTTCCCTCCCTGTCCCTTGCATAGGCTGGCTTGTGGGTATTGAATAAGAATCTTGTCCACGCAGAGCCCCTCCCCTGCATTCCCCCGTCTGTTCCTCAGTGTAGAGCTCTGAGGTGCTCTTCTAGCTGCGGGGAGGCCCACGGCCAGGTAGCATAGCTGCTGAGGGGACCCAGGCCCAGCACAGACCCCGCCAAGGTCAGGTGATGAGCTGCCTCAGCCTTCTGCCTCCATTTCCCCATCAGCAGGGGTGGGGGGTGGGCCATGCCCACTGCACAGGAAGTTGTGTGCATCCTGTGAGTCACCCTCAGGACAGGGACCCTGAGGCCTCCTCTGTCACATCCTGAATTCCCTGGCTGGGTGTCCTTTCTCACGCCAACCTCTAGAGCCTCCATCGCCATGACATGAATTAGTCCTGACAGCCGGAAGGCCAGTTCCATCTCTGTCTTTCTCATATGCGTCCTGGCTATTCTGGTGAATTTATTCTTCAGTAGGAATTCCATAAACAACTGGTCAAGTTCTGAGACAATGACCACACATGTTGTTGGGAGCTGCCCGGCTTTGCTGCTGTGTCTGCTGAGTGTCGGGACCAGCGCTTCTCCCCTGTTGGTGACAGCCTCCTGCCCGTCCTTCGGGATGATGTGTGGCCCCTGGGATGGTCCTGCCGGTGTGTGTGGAGGGGAGCCCCAGGGCCCTTGAGCGTGCGCTGCCGCTGAGAGCAGGGCCCCCCAGGGCTTGCTGCTGCATCATCGCTTCTGCTCCTGGGGTGTGAGGCTCTCAGGTCTGGCTGTCATTTGATGCTCTCACTTGTTCTAATAGTGCTTCGGTTGATTCTCCTGGGTTTTCTAGGTAAATGGTCATGCCGGCTGCAAACAATTAGAGCCCATTCCTTCCTTTACAGTGCGCTCTGCTCTTCCTCTCGGCACCCCGGCAGGACTCCCGTGCTGGCTGGCGGTGGGGTGTTCCTGGCTGGAGCTGGGACGGCTCCACTATTTTGCCAGGGGACAATGTTTGCCTAGATTTCTGGTAGATCCCTTTTGTTATTGCTAACCAAATCACAAAAGTTTCTCTCCATACCTAACTTATTAATGGATTTTGAATCTTAATAAATGTCTTTTTTGTATCTCCTAACATGGTCATATGTATTTTCTCCTTGAAGTTAGTGTAAAGAGGTGCTTTGCTTTTTTTATATAAACCATATTGGATTTTGATGGTGCGGTGTTGTTTTAATAACTTTTGCTGACAGTTCATTTAGGATTTGGGGTCATGAAGGAGGTTCCCTGAGAAGTGCACTGGTCCTGTCCACCTCTTGGTTTGGGGGGATTAGGCAGCCTTAGAAAACAAGCAGAGCAGCTTCCATTTCTTTCTGTGCTTTTGGTTTGACTGAGAGCCTGGCTGTAGAACCATCAGGGCCTGGCGCCTTTCTTGGGGGAAGCATGTCTTTGACCACTTACCTCTTTTAGTCCGGCTGACTGACTCTGACTGCCAAGAGCATGGACATGGGGTAGACAGAAGAGAGGAAATCCCTGGCCCTCAGAGCTCTCCTCGGCTACCAGAGGCAGCTCACCCTGGTGGCAAATGGGATGGCTTCAACGTTAAGCCGACCTGGCTTCCCGCCCTGTGGGCCTCGTCCCACACGGTGGGGCCTCAGTGGAGCCTTAGGCTCTGTGAGCCCGCAGGTCCTCATCTGAACTAAGGGGTAGTGAGTCCTGACTCCATGCAGTTTGTTCTCGGGATTCTGTGCCATCACCCTGCAGGCACCCTGCCTGGCACACAGCTGGCGCTCTGCACCGCTGCTGAGACCCTCCCTCCCGTGGGGGCAGCGGGTCAGGGCATATGACTGTGTGCACACCAAACCACTGAGGTGGACTTCCTGTCACGTGTGCCGGGACTTCGTTTCTCATCCTTGGCTTCTCTGGCTGGATCCCATAGGTCAGCATCCCAGACCTGAGTTCCCCAAAGGGGCCTCCAGCTACCTCAAGAAGGCATGATGGGGGGTGCCGGCCATCCCAGGAACCTGATGCTTGGGGTCAGAGCCCTTGTCCACTGGAACTCAGCTAAATGGCTGGCTAACCAGCCCGAAATGTGAAACTGACACCAACTAAGCACTTACGTGCCAGACGCCACGTGAACACCCCCTGCTCCTGCACAAGGATGGAGGCATCAGGGGAGGAAGCTGAGGCTCAGAGCGGAAGTGACCTCCTTCCCCGGGGCTGCCTGGCAGGGGCAGAGGGCGGGACTAAGCCACTGTCCCATCATCAGGGGCCCTCGGCTGCTCCCTGGACCTAGCGGGTTTGGCCCTGAGAGTCTACATGGGGCAGGAGGGCAGGTGGCTCCCCCAGCCAGGAGTGCCTGGGAGGGGGCTCTCCGTGCAGACCAGGCGCCACGCCTTGTCCTGGGGGTGAGTGAGGGCCGGGGAGGGGCACGCTCCCCTTAAGCCACCAAACCACTGGCTTCATGTAGAATCAGCGATCCTTCAGCGAGGCCATCGCACACAGAGGGTGGAAAGATCACAGGCAGGGTCTCCCGGGTCCCAGGCTTCCTGGGCCCTGCGGGGAGGAGGGGGCAGCAAGGGATGGAAACCGAGAAGCCCGGCCGTGTTCTCGCCCTGCCCGGACCACCTCGGTGTCTGCGGGGACGGGATGCCCCTCTTCTGTGCGCCCCAGAACTGTCAGTGACACACTTTCTGGCTGGAGAGGATGTCTCAGCCAGACCCCAACAACCTGGGGAGCAGCTGCTCAGCCACATCCCTCCTACAATGGGCACTTTTCCAGGAGACCCCTGGCCCTTGGCCAGCCCAAAAAGTATCAGGTCTCTGGGGCTTTTCGGCTCCCCAGGGGGCAGAGCAGGAGAGGACCACTATACCAGGGGTCTGCGGGCCTCTGCTGACCACCCTCTGCTCACTCAAGTGTCTGGTGTCACGGCAGCTCCGTGAGGGCAAGGGGCAGCCCATCTTTGTCACCCTCCCTAGGCCACATCTGGGGTGGGGGCCAGGCCGCCGGCCTCCCAGGGTTCTTCCCTCCCAGAGCCCCCCGACACAGGCCGAGGCCCATCCTCTGAGCTCTTCCACAGGCCCTGCCAAGCCTAGGTCATGAGGCAGGGAGAAGAAACCCAAAATGTGCAGGGTCAGAGGCAGTCATGCCTGGGGAGCCGGCAGTTTATTGTGGTTTCTTTCTTCTTCCAGCAAGCAAGGGACAGAAACAAAGAAAACACAGCCCCCAGCCTCTGGCCATGTGGTTCCCCGCCTGCCCCCACCCCACCTCCCCATGGCCCAGCCAGCTTGTGACTAAGGAAAAACATGTAGCCACGCTGATGCAATTAGGAAAATGTTATTTTTCAAGTGCTGCCAGATCCCGCGGTTGACCCCGGGATCCGGGACACAGCACGCAGGCGAGTTGGGCCTGCACCTGCAACTGGAAGCTTCAGCCTGGGATGGTCCTTGAGCAGCTCCCCACAGCTGTAGGAGGGGTGCAGGCACCTGCCTTTGGCTTGTCCCAGGGGCAGGGAGCATGGGATGGGGCCTTGGTGTAGGCTCAGGGAATGTGCCTGCCCTTCCGGCTTGAGGAGGGACGGGAGGGCTGCATAGCGCCTGTCTGCCCGCATGGACCTCCTGCCAGGTGAGTGGCCCTCCACTCCCAGCCTCAGGGTATAGCCAGTCCTGGATTTTCCAGCGCCCGTTGCTGAGTGTGGTCAGCAGACTCCCACACCTGCCTGGAGGCTGAGCCAGGCTCTGCCATCCTCCTGAGGTCCTCCTGCCAGTCTGGCCTTCGTCAGGGGATGGGCAGATGGGGTGGGAACCGCTTTGCCCAGGCCCATTCTGTCTCTCTGGAGCAGCCCACGTGGGACCCAGGAGGCCCATGCCAAGTCCACCCACACCGATCGCAGCCGACATGCTGCTCTCCTAGGCTCTTGGCTCTTAAAGGAGCCGGGTGAGCGCAAAGCTCAGCCCAGCGGGCAGAGGCTGTGGGGGGAAGATCGCGCTTCTGCGGGTGCCCCTCCATGGGCTTTCTGAGAGGCAGCACCAAGGTGGGGCCTGGGGCTGGACTCCTGTGGAAGGCCGGGTGGTGCCAGGGGACCAGGAGCCCAGGGTGCAGGTCAGGGTCAGGAGCCCTGGGGTCTGACCCACGTCCTCCACTTGAGCCAATGGCCTGGAGCCCTGCTTGCCCGGTGGTCCTATGGGGATGCGAGGGATCAGAGGGCGCAGGGTTGGGGCTGGCGCAGACTTGGCTGGGACACCAGGAACTGGGGGGCTCCGGGAGCCCCCGCCCCCACCTGCAGCGTGCGGGTGATCGCAGCCAAAGCTCTTCAGTGTGGGCTTGGGGGCAGGAAAGGCGCAGGAGCCCCTGAGGACACATGCGCGCCCCGAGAGCCTGCAGCCCACCAGGGACTCCTGCAGCTCACCTGCTCTGGCCTCGCCGCCTGCCCCACCACAGCCAGGCCCTTATCGCTCGGGTGCCTGGGGTGAGGGTCTCTGTGATCCCAGGTGCTGGTGACACTGGATCCCAGAGGGGTCCTGCCTGCGCCCTCGGCGCTCCCTCCCGGGTTCTGGTCCGACCTGAGTTGAGAGGAGGCCTTGGGTGGGGGTAGGTTCTCTGGACCCTGGGGAAGGCTGGGCAGCCTCGGCAGAGGCTGGGGGAGGTGGGGCTGGGAGGGCTCGCACCGCCACCCTCTCGGGAGAGCCCAGGGGGGCGTCAGTGCCTGCCCCCGACTTGGCGCTGAGAAACCTCCCTGTGCCCTGGAGGTGCTTTGGAGTGAGTCCCGGCGCCAGGAAGCCCCGAGGTGGGGGGCTGCCGGGGCTGCGGGGGCTGCGTCCGGGCTTGGGGGGCGCGGGGCGGGCCACGCGGGCTGAGAGGCGCTGGCGTTGCCCGCAGGCAGCCGGGCGCCGGGGACGGCGTGCTCCTGGACACCGCCGGCCTCAAGATGAGCGACCTGGACACGGAGGTGCTGCCCTTGCCGCCGCGGTACCGCTTCCGGGACCTGCTGCTGGGCGACCAGGCCTTCGCCAACGAGGACAGGTAGGGCTGCGCTCGGAGCTGTCCGCGTCCGCGGTGCTGAAGGCCGGTCGGCCGCCCTCCAGCTTCCCCGGGGTTACGGGCGGACGGAGAAGTTCCCGCGGGCGTGCGGGAGGGGGCCCGGAGGAGGGGACACGATGCCCTGTGTGCGAGTCTCCCCAGGCGCCGGTCCGCGAGGCCTGGCCTCCCCGAGCCCGCTCCCGGCGCCCCGGCCCCGCTGGCAGCTCTGCTGGTTTTGGGAATAAGCCAGGGCTGGAAGCGCCGGGTGACGGGCCCCACGGTCTGGAGGAGGCTGGCGTCCGCCAGACTCGGGCTGTGGTTATTTACTATTAATTGAGAGGCAGTGTCCTTCAGACTCGTGCCGTGGTCACTTACAGAGGCTGACAACAGTCCCTCACCTCAAATTCGTCTGGGTGGAAAACAGCAAAATGAACTTGAGTCTTTCGGTAAAAGACCAGCAGAATGAGCCCTTGGGAACAATTCATACGCTGAGGGGGCTGGCAGGAAGCTAGGAGAAATGTTGCTTTTCTCTGCTTTTTCCCCAAATAGCTGTCTTGGGTAAACACCCAGCACTTTAGCACTGTCAGCCTCCAGGGAGATGCTTTTACGCCAGCAAGTGAAGACCAAGGGCTCCCGCAGGGCTGGAGCCTGCGGGGCTTTGGGTCAGAAAGCTTTCCTTGCAGCGCACCCGGGGGGTGCCGGGGGCTGTCCGTATCTGCAGGTCTCCTTCCTGCCCAGCCCTGGACTGGTGGGCGAATCTGCAGTTTTCCCCAACAGTGCACTTATTCAGGTTAGCACACAAAGTACGTGAGGTTGGAAATTGTCAGGACGCAATTGAGCTCTCACAGTAATTCACTGCTGAAACTGCAGCTGGGGAAGAATTCATGTTTGTGACTAAGGTCAGTGTAAGGGCTGCCCAAGGAGCTGCTAAAGCTCGTGGAAAGTGACTTTAAAATCACCCTGCCTGCTGGAAACGAGTATTCTGCCAGACCCCAGCACATTCACTTGCCGCCTCCAAGTGGGTCAGGGAGGAGAGACTGAGCAGCGTCTTCGCCCACTTAGAACAAGGACGTGAGTCCAGCAGAGGAGCTTTCTGAACGAGATGTTGTTTTGCCTTGTGACACACATGCCAGCGCCCTGTTAGCCCACACTGTGCCCATGTCTGGACCTGCAGCTCCCTGCGTGCCCCCTGGAGTTGAGTTTAACTCCCACTTGGGCAGAGGTGGACAGGAGGGTCCTGGTGTGGTGAACGTGGCTGGGGGCTTGCGGGGGAGGCTCTCCTGTTCTCTTGGGGCATGAGGCTGGGCCAGGGGCTTCACTTAGCCGAACCTGTGTGATCAACATCTTCCTAAATCAGCACCAGCCCCTTGGTGCCTACTTGCCTGGCACTTGGCTAATTCTTGAAAACAGCAGCCCAGAGATTTTTTCAGTACTGGGCAGCAAACAGTGTCCATCTCCTGAGTGGGCCAGAGGGCTCCAGCTGCCCGACAAATGCCAGGGACTGCGGTGTTGTGTCTGGAAAGACACACCCCTCAGTTTGCAGGTGGCAGAAGCCCTCACCTCTGGCCGTAGGCCGGTGTGTGTCTGCCTGCGGGAGCGTTCCCGTCCCTGGGGGAATGGGCAGGGGCACCAAATCCTCCAGGGATCCTGTGGTTAAGGGTTTTTTGTTGTGGTAAAGAGCACACAGTGTGAGCTGTATTACTAGTGACACTAGTATGCTGACATGTGTGCCACCACATTGCCCCAGATATAAGAAAACTCCCTATCCGTTAGCAGTCACTCCCAGCCCCCCAACCCCAGCTGTAGCTCCCAGGAGCCGTGATCTCCACTCCGCTCCGCTGGTTCCGAGGGGGAAAGTCTCCTGTGTGCTGGGCCCAGGGGCCATACAGCTGTGTGCAATGGTGTTCAGAGGTGGGCTGCACATGTGCACATGAGCGTGTGCATGTGTGTGTGAATCCTTCAGAGGAAAGACCCCTGCGGGCCCAGGTGTGGAGACACTGTGTTGGGCCCTGGGAGACACCAGGAGGAAGGAAGGACACTTGGCCCCTGCCAGGCTGTTTGGGAAGGGTCCCTCTTCTCACCCCAGAGGGGAGACGCAGAGCCTCCGTCAAGGGGGCTGGCCAGGGGTCTCATGGGGTGGGGTTGCTGGTTCACATGTCCCCAGCCAGTTTCCGGGGGATTGTGCACCTGCTCCCAGTGGGGCTGGAGGGAATCCCGTGAAGCTCATGCTGCCTGCACAGGGTACGGGAGTGAGCAGCCCCAGGGGACAGGGGGCCTCTCCTTCGATCACTGCCAGTTGCTGTCCACAAATGCAAACCTTTTTTGCCCAGAGGTGGCTCTGCAGTGCCTGTGGAGGGCTAGTGAGTCCATCCTGGCCCTGCTCTTGAGCCCCTTCTGCCCGCAGGTCCTCTGGGGCAGGCAGTGCTGGAGATGGGTGAGGTTCTTGGGTGTCCTGAGATCATCCAAGCCCCCAGCTGTAAGGACACGTGGAGGCCCCGGCTGGCCTCTGAGCTGCCACCCCAGGCCCAGGGGGCAGGAGGACGGGAGGGGGACCACTGGAGGCCCTACAGCCTCCGCATCCCTCCCTTCCTGCAGCCCCATCCTCGATACCCTGGCCTGTCTCTGACTCTCAAAGTGGAGGGTGGCGGCAGGCCTCTGCATCTGGAGAGGTGAGGCGGCTGTGGCCCTGAGGGTCATAGGGGAGCAGGCTCTGGGTCTGGAGCCTGGACAGTGGCCAGAAGGCTGAGGGGCTTGAGCCTGAGGCCTGTCTGCCCTCACGCACCCTGGCTGGCCCCTGGGCCCTCAGCAGGCGCTCAGGGACTCACGTGGGCTTGGCTGTGACCTGGAACGGTGCCACAGAGGCCTGGGCAGGGGCCCTGGGGGCGTCCCAAGGCTGCCAGCCGGTGAGCCTGTGGCTGGGATGAAGTGGCACTGCCAAGGGGGCCTGTGTGTGCCCTCCTCTGCCTCACAAAGGGCTGGCAGACCCCAACACAGCACAGCGCTGGCTCCCTGCCCCCGCGTACCGTCCACAGCCCCTCCCCACCCCCACCCCGGTTCTGCTGCTGCTCATGGCCCCCAGGCAGGCTCCACGTGAGCAGGGGCTCAGCTGCTGGCTCCTGGCGGGCTGTGAGCCCGTGTGGGCTTCCTGCTGCCAGGGGCAATAAGGCCACCAGCCGTGAATCGCCACAGCCTCAGGGGAGGGAGGGGCTCAACCCGCCCAGGCCACGGAGACTGCGCCACTGTGGCCTCTCCTGGGGGAACCCGGGGTGGGGGGCACAGCAGCAGAGCCGGCACATGCACACCTTCTGGGGCAGCCAAGGCCCTGGGGTGACCCTCACTGCTGCCTGCTCAGGGCTCTCAGCAGAAGTGCACTGGACCCTCCAAGGCTGGGGTCTTGGGGCCCCCTGCCCCGTTCTGGGACAGCTCATAGCCCTCTGCCCTGGAGCCGAGGAGCAGGTCAAGGAGGCCCTGGCCCATCCCCATCTAGAGGTGACCCTCCAGGGAGCCTGGAAACCTGAGCCTGTGGCATCTCAGTCCAGGGACTGAGGGGAGGGGGCGTCTGAGCGCCCCTACCAGGCTGCAAATCGTCCTTGTGCAGGGGCTGAGAGGGTCCCCATCCCTGCAGGAGGTGCTGTGACACAGGGGGGAAGGGCTCTGGTCATTGTAAGTGTCCCTTGGTCTCCTGGCCTGTAACATGGACACCAGGAGTCAGCACCACCACCCACCCCAAGCTCTGTGCAATGACGTACAGGAGACCCCAGGTCATCCCCCAGTGGGCAGAGTTGCAAAACGGCTGGGGTGGCAAGAGCCACAGGTGAGAAGAAAGGGCCTGTCAGGTGGCCACCTCCTGGCCTACATGCTGGGGACCAGCTGCTTTCCACAGCTGCCTGCCCGGCCAGGACCCAACCCTGTGGGACAGACCGAAGCCGTGGCTGGAGGTGACATCAGGGTCCATGCCCTTCCCTTGTGCCAGGCACCTGGTGGAGGACAGGTGGGGGAGAGAAGCATCCAGGGGCCGAGGCTCTGGGGCCTGGGAGCGGGAAGGACAGGGAGGCCGGGCTCCCGGGGGCAGCACGCGTGCAGAAGGGCCCCACTGACGACAGAGGATGGAACGTGACCTTTCTCTGGAATTGAGCAACGCAAATATTGTTTCACACAACAGCCTAGAAGCAGGGAGGACAGGCAGGCGTGCGTTGCCAGGCACTGCAGGGAGCTGTGAGGACAGCCTTGGGGACGAGGGCTTATCCAGCAGGGGCCCCTAACCTGGGCGGGTGCAGGGTCCCCGCAGCACGGGTGTCCCTCCCATGACCTTCACCCCGGCTGAGCAGAAGTAGACCAGGCTTTCCTAGGGACCAGGCATTCTGGGGGCAAATGAGGCTCTGCCCCAGGGTGAAGGCCCACAGGAGGTGGAAGGGCTATAGGGACAGCCACCCTCAGGGCTGCTCCCCTCTGGCAACAGCTGAGCTGGGCTGGGCGGGAGCCGGAGGGCCAGAGCCACACCCAGTGTCCCCTCCTTCCCACCTGGCCCCGCCCCCCACCTCCCTCCCTCAGCTCCTGCCAGCCTCCCTGGTGGGGGTTGGGAGGCTCCCTGGAGATGGTGGGACGAGTGGCCTGGGAGGGTGGCAGGATTCAGGGACTGGGCTCTGCCCCCAGCACAGGACCCAGAACCTTCCCGAGGGCAGAGAGGGCAAGCGCTTGCAGGGGTCTGTCACCTGTCAGGGGTGCTAGAGAGGAGTTGGGGGCTGTGGGGCGAGCTCAGGGCTGTGGGGGGTCATGTTGACCTCTGGGCACCCTGACCTTCTGCTTGGCATGTCCGTGCGAGAAAGAGTCAGGTTGCACAGAGAGGAACAGGCGGGAGGGAAGTGACAGCAGGCCTGGTCCCGGTGCTGAGGGAAATGACAGGGACAGAGACCGGGAGGGTGCTCAGGCCTGGAGTCAGGGGACAGTGATGATCTGGGTCCCTGGGGGCTAAAGAAGGGGGCAGGGAGCTGCGTGGTGGGGGA